CTGAAGAGAGGACAGTGACTGGTCTTCTTCAGTTTTGAAGGCTGAGTGGTTGGATAGAGATCTCTGAGTGCTAAATAGGGAAATATTCTGTCACATGCCACATTTCAAAAAAAAACCCAAGACCGCACAGCACAAATTTTGCCTTCAAAAAAGAATGCCTTCTCTCTGAGGGCAAACCATGCCACCTTGGGAAATCAGGTGATACACAGAAGGTTACATCTCAATATTTTCCTGCATCCTGAAGAGACATCTGGGGAGCTCATGGAATCACACCAGTAGTGAAATACCAAAGACAGAAATTCAGGCTCAGCTTTTAATTACTTTAATTACACAGTGAAAAAATACCATCAGGAAAATATGTCAGTCTCATATTTTCATGTGTGAGATGAGACAGGATTGAATTTTAGAAGATTTAAGTGAAATTCACTCTGCAGGAAATTATAAAAATTTCTTCATTTCTAAATGAAATTGCTATTGCCCTACTGACCTTCATTTCTGCATAAATGCAACTAGGAGATCAGCACCCAAAGCTACCTGAAAAATGGCTCATTTTAAAAAGAATGCATGTTTCTTGTGAGATAGGTCAGCCTTGTCAGACAGTCATACCAAGAGCCAGCCACAATGTCAGGAAATGCCACATATCTCATCCAGATCACAGAGCAAGCACTCAGAAGTTTGGTTTCCAAACCTATATGTGGAAACCTGAAAGAAACAGCACTCCTCTCCCAATCACATAGACTGTCCCTGTGACTGCATAAAGGCCTGACTTTATTACAGTAGATTTTTACCATGGAAATATTCTTGTTTGTTTAGAAAAATTGCAAAATGGAAAAAGAAATCTGTGGTGGGAAAATATTATTTGAAGTGCAGTAACATATCTGTTCAGCACCTGTAGCAAAGATGTGATAGCAAAGAAATTTGGCATCGTCTCCTGTTTGTTGCCAAAATTGCATTTCCTAAGTACAGGATTTGTTCCTACTTGGCTGCTTAGTAGAAAGACAATGCAAGAAAGAGAGTTAGTTCCCTGAGAAAGTCTACAGGATTAAAATAAAAAGGAGAAATTGAATTGTGAAATAAGAAATGACAAGGAAATGCTAGGTGCAGATGTTAGGAAGTTATGGGCAAAGTTAACTGAATTTTCGTTTTGCAGATGATGACAAAATATACTAACAATAATAAAGTCAACAGCTTTTCTGGAAAAGACATTTCTAGAACTTAAAAAAACCAAAAACAAAACCAAAAACAAACACAACCATAAGCCTCTTAATCAGCTGTCAAAGATCTTGCCTAGAAAGAGCAAAGGTTTTCTTTGGCCTGAACTGATTTGTCTTAGACAGACAGTATTTCCTTACAGCAAGTGGCTTTTGTATAACAGACACATTGTCATTTATATTGTCAGGAGTTTTAACAGCCTTGTTTTATTCTGGAGCTTGTACAGCAGGGGCCAAGAGGAATTCCACTTTCTTCTCCGTTGGACATTGTGCAATAACAAAAAAGCAAAAAGGGAATGGTCCCTTTTCTTCCCCCTCCTCTGCTCCTGGCAGAGGCAACTGCAGCCTGGCAGTAAACCAAACATTGATTCCTTAAGAAAAAACAAGCACTTGATGGGAGTTCCTTCAGCCAGGCTGCAGACCAGTTTGAGGGCTAAAAATCTGAACAATTCATACTGCGTTCTTGATACTCCAAACACACCTTGTGCGGCCAGAACTGTGAATTACGGGGTGCTGTGCTGGTTCCTGGAAAGAAGGGCTGCTCGAGGCCATCAAAATCCCTGAGACCAGCCTCCAAGCAAGAGCAAAGCCAGAAGAGTGAACCTCACTACATCACCTGCACCTGACACCTCATGATCACCATGAGCCACCAGACACATACCTCAGGGAGCAAGGAGGTGGCACTGCCTTCTTGCTTCTTTGCACTTCAGAAATCTGGCAGCATCAGGTACCTTCATCTCACCACTGCTCACAGATGTAGCACAATTGCAAGCCACACACAGCCATGAAATGCAGGTTGGCCAGTGCCAATCTGGAAAGTCATAAGCTGGGCTGAAAGCAAAGTTGTACTCCCTGGCATGAATTCAGTCGATTCTCTGTAACTTCAAATTCAATTGCTAGACCTACATCCTAGACACTAATCTCATAAAGAGATTACCAATAGCATAAACCTTTACTTGCTAAGGATACCCTGGAGAACCTACCAAGTTCAATAAACTTCTACTCACTCAAAAATAAGGGGAAAAGAGCAGCACAATATCAACAGCACACTATACCTCAGCCTATCTGATAAGTCTAAATGAGTAACAGACAGCTACAGTGACATAAAAAGACACATGAAGTGCTTTGTGATCCTTGAAGAGCAAAGTTCCTTTAGGATCTGCTCTGCTGAAAGAGCAGCCTCCACCAGGATAAGTCTCCCCACGCACTCAGCTGCAGTAACTGAGAGCAACTGATGCCCTCCTGCACTTGCAGACCAGTTCCAGCTATCAGGGACTGATTACAGGGGGATTGCTCTTGTGGGTTACAGCATTAACTGGTCTTGCTGTGCCAAATTTAGTTGAATATTTTGATACAGAGGTGCAATGAGCCTGCTATTTTTCTGGTCGGATAACAAGGGGGATAGGTACTGTTTGCCATCCTTCATAAGCCTTCTCATTCAGGGTGATAAAGGCATCATTTTAAAGCTGCTCTGTTCAAAAGTTCAAACCATAAAATCTGCACAGGTCAAAACAAGAGCTAACTTAGAGAAACATACCCTTGGACTGAAAATACTGTGGCTATTGCATTAATTTTCTTGACTTTTGTACATACCTAGTGACAGCAAGCACAAAGCATGGAGTAATTAAACAGAAAGGCAACTTCATCACAAAGGGAAGAACAGAATAATTTCCCTGGGGACAACTAAGTTTAAACATTGTTTTAGGAATGCTATTGTTTCTTTATTAATGTTTTCTAAAAAATAAGGATTTATATGCATTCCTTATGAATAAATGGTATTGCCTAAATAAGTAGTTCCCAAAGAGTCTCAGAAGAGCACAATTATGTCCTCACACAGTAAGTCCATTATGCACTACCAGAGATTACATGTATGGGTACCACTGCATTGGGTTTGCACGGCAAGGTTTTGGTAGTGAGGGAGCTACAGGGGCGGTCTCAGTGAGAAGCTGCTAGAAGCTTCCCCTGTGTCCAATAAAGCCAGTGCCAGCCAGGTCCAAGACAGACCCACCGCTGGCCAAGGCTGAGCCCCTCAGCAATGGCAGTAGTACCTCTGGGATAACATTTAAGAAAGTGAAAAAAAACCAACTGTCCAACTGCAGCCAAAGAGAGGAGTGAGAATATGTGAGAGGAACATTTCTGCAGACACTGAGGTCAATGAAGAAGGAGGAGGTGCTCCAGGTGCCAGAGCAGAGATTCCCATGCAGCCCATGGGAGGCAGCCTGTCCTCCTGCAGCCCATGGATGTTAATGGTGGAACAGATATCCATCTGACACCCTGTGGAAGACCCCATGCCAGAGCAGGTGGATGCCCAAAAAGAGTCTGTGACCCTGTGAGTAGACCACACTGGAGCAGGCTCCTGGCAGGACCTGTGGCCCCATACAGAGAGAAGCCCACGCTGGAGCAGTCTGTTCTTGAAGGACTGCACCCCGTAGAAGGGACCCATGCTGGTGCAGTTGGTGAAGAACTGCAGCCTGTGGGAAAGACTCACGTTGGAGAAGTTCACAGAAGACTATCTGCAGTGGGAAGGCCCCCACACTGGAGCAGGGGAGGAATGTGAGGAGTCCTCACCCTGTGGAGGAAGGAGATGCAGAGACAGCATGTGAACTGACCACAACCACTATTCTCTGTCCCGCTGCGCTGCTCAGAGGGAGAAGGGAGAGAATTCAGGAGTGAAGCTTAGCCCAGGAAGAAGGGCGGGGTGGGGGGAAGGTGTTCCAAGATTTGGTTTTATTTCTCATTACCCTTCTCTGATTAGACTGTTAACAAATTAAACTAATTTCCCCAAGTCAAGTCCATTTAGCCCATGATGGTAACTGGTGATTGATCTCTCCCTGTCCTTATCTCCACCCACAAGCCTTTCATTATATTTTCTCTCTCCTGTCCAGCTGAGGAGGGGAGTGATAGAGCAGCTTTGGTGGGCAGCCAGCATCCACCCAGAGTCAACCCACAACTACACAGACAACAGACTTTCAAAAAGCATGTTTAGTGACAAACAAATGTAAAATGGAACTTTAAAAGCAAAAATAAAAATCTCCCAAATATGGCATTATGAAATCAGTCTTCACCTGTTAGCAAAGGAATGCGTGAAAAGTGTGCACTTTATTTTTATCCAGAGTAGGAAGTACTAATCTAAGTAAACTAAATTTAAAATGTCAGCAAGTTTTTTGGGGGTAATGAAAAGCCAATTGCCATATTGCCATAAAATTTACTTAAATTTTCTACAAAAAAATTGTGTGAATACTTGTGATGGGATGAATCATTTGGTCCATGTGATCTAGCCTGTATCATGCTAGCAGCAATACAAAGTAATTAGTAATAAAAATGACCATATTGTTTTCGCATCTAGAATTTATTACATATTAAGAAAAAGTCATGTAATCTATAGAAATATTATAACAAAAAGGAAAACAAAATGCAAAGGAATTATAACACCGTGAAGTACTGGGGCAACAAAGAAGACAGAAATACATCAGGTTTTTGTTATTTTAATCTTCACAAAACTTAATTGTGGTAAAATAGTCAACAGTGTTAACTGCACTGAGAAAGAACAGAAAATAGAGCATGGAAAGGATGCGTACTGAAATTAAATCAGCTTTGTCTTATGTGCTTTTATTCAGACTGAAGGACTGAAAAATTTCGTGTAGCAACACTACATCAATGGTAATCTCCTAGAAATTATGCAAGATGCATAACATCTTAGAGTATAGGAGA